TCTATGTAATGCAGACGGTAAGTAGTAGTCACTGAAAAGTAAGTGGTTATGGAAGTACAACCCATTACCGAGTTTTTGCTGGGTTATTAGTAAATTACGATATAGATACAAAATTTGACTGAAATATAGCTTTTATGTACAGAAATTTTGCTTAAAGAATTTTTTACGATCGGTCTATAATTGGTCATATCTCCCATACTAGGTCCTGCCCCTAAAACCAATTTAACAGTATTTAACTAGTTGCATTATCAATTTGTGTAGAACAAAATTATATATATGTATTTTGAAAATCCTTAAATCTTACACACACATGCATATATGCACATTATTAAATATCGTTAAAGCATATCTTAGGGCGCTATAAAAATATAAAAGAAAATGCGGTTTGTAATGTTCAATAAATTTTGGAATTGTAACAGATTGAAGCTGTTTAAATCTTGCGGTTTTTCTATTTAAGACATGAGAAAACTTATTTCTACAAATATTTGATCAACTAAAAAAGCATTAATATAAAAGAAGTACAGATTCGGCTCAGCCGAATATAGTACTCTAACTAGCTGTATGTACATTAGGGTTATTACTTTTTTAGACGGCAAAATACCACAGCACTACCTTATAGCCAATACTGTTCTGATAATAAAAGCAATTTTTGTCAGACCATTTACTGGTCAAAAGTATTATTCAAAAATTTTCTGAGCCTGGTCATTCACAAATCCAAGAAGTCGATTGCGTTGACAGCGCTTTAGACAAATATCTGAAACGTTTAGAAATTCATAGTATTTTGTCACTCGTTAATTATTTGAAAAATTTTAAAACAAATAAGATTAAACTTAAGATTGTAGAAATGCAATCTTTAGATTTTAAGAATTTTTCTAAAATATCTTACCAATTACATTTCTCGGTTCTCCCATTTACTAAAATAAAACTTCTTCAAAAAAACCAAAATAATATATTTACAATAAAATTTAAAAACTCAATTTTGCAGCCTACTTTCTAAACAGCAAATATAATAAAAAGAGATTCCCGAAATCAATTACCAACACCGTTAAATATTTTTGAAACTGATTTATGTATCGTTAGGAGAAAAGAAAAAATTCAAAATGAACAAGTAAGAGTGTTATATTCGGCTATGCCGAATCTTATATACCCACCATCAATCCTCGTTTGACTCGAATGAAACTTACTTATGTCGAATTTCATCTATATACTCGTATTTTTTAGGCCAGTTATAAGCGTTAAAGTAATTTTCTGAAGGGGACCTTATATAGTGGGGTAGGGTTAATTATGGGTCGATCCTCATAAAATTTGGTAGACAGAATTTGGTTCGTATTAAATTTATTTGTGTCGAATTTCATCGCTACACTCGTATTTTTAAGCTATTAATGAGCGTTGCAGTCACTTTCTGAAGGGGACCTTATATGGGGGGTAGGGTCAATCATGGACCGATCCTCATAAAATTTTGCATAGTGATTTTTGATCATAAGAATCTTACTTATGTCGAATTTCATCGCTATATTCGTATTTTTAAACAAGTTATGGCTGTTAAAGCTTTTTCGAGGGGCAACTTGTATGGGGGCTATCCGAAAACGTAGACCGATATTGCCCATTTTCAATACCAAACAAACCTTACCTATAAGAAATATTTATGTGAAATTTCAACCCTCTAGCTCTTTCCATTGGGACTCTTTCGTGCTTTCAACAGACAGACAGACGGACGGACAGACATGGCTAGATCGTCTTAGAATTTAATGAAGACCCACAATATATATACTTTTGTGGGTCTATGACCAATATTTCGATGTGTTACAAACGGAATGACAAAATTAATATACCCCCCATCTTTTTTGATGGTGGGTATCAAAAAATTATGAACCGATACTCATACAATTTTGTACATTCAGGGCTATACTCGTATTTTAAATAAGGAACACTCGTAGTTTATTAGCCAAAACTCTTTCCTGAAGGGAACCTTTTGTGTATTACCGACACATTCCGCATGAAATTCGGAGCGTATTTCATAACCGTATTTCATAACTCATATTTTTAAGCCAGTAATGATCGTTTAAGTAATTTTCTGAAGGGGACCTTATATGGGCGGTAGGGTAAATTATATACCGATCCTCCCTAAATTTGGTGGAGAGATTAAACTTATGTGCGTCAATTTTCGTCACATTCATATTTTTAAGCCAGTAATGAGCATTGTAGTTATTTGTAGAGGGGGACCTTATATGGGGGAAGGATCATTTATGGGCCGATCCAAAAAAATTGGTACAGACGTTTTGGCTCGTAAGAAACTTACGTGTGTAGCATTTCATCGGTTTACTCGTATTTTTAAGACAGTAGTAAGCGTTTAAGTTATTTCCTGAAGTGGACCCAATAGGGGGAGTAGGGCCAATTATGGACCTATTCACATAAAAGTTATTAAAAAGATTTTGGCTCGCGAGGAACTTAATTGCAGGGTTTAATATTTAGTTTTTAGTTTTATTTTTTTAAATGTCGACTGAACTGAAGAAAGTTCAAATATTTATTTTTAGCTCACAAGCTAACTGAAGTCAGTCAACTGTGTCAACGCACTGCTGCAATAACTTGCAAGTGGTTTTGTTTTTCTTCAGCAACCAAACACACAAGCAGCGGCCATGTTAAGTTTTTCAACTCAGCCGAACTGAACACAACGACTGAACAGTAAAAACAGTTTTGCGTGTGCTGCTTACGTATTGCTTTGTTCTTGGTTTCGTTTTCTTACTAAGGGACGTAAAAAAAACTGATAGTTTGACTGGTTAGTACAAATCAAGCCGACTGAACAATAAAACTTGATGGGTTGTTTGTTCAGTAAGACTTTGTTATTGTATGCAATTTGTTTTAGTATATTGTATGTTTTTGTGTTTAAAGTTGACAAAAGTAAATGAAGTAATTGATAATTATTGCTAATAGAAATTGTTAATTAATTTAAAATTTATAAAATTAGAAATTACTATATTTTGATTGATTTAAATTTAAGCATTTTGATGATTTTTTAGTGAGATTTTGTTATTGTATGTATGTATGTATGTATGTATGTATATTAGGGTGGGTCGAAAATAGGCTTTTCGCTCGGATCAACATCTAATAGTGAAATTGTGTTGTATTTTAACGTCAAATGGAAGACTGTAAAATATTATTCAATTATTTTGAGGGTAAGAGTCCGCGCATCGCCGCCAAAGTTTGTAAATGCGTTTATATGGGAAAAATGACACTTTTTGGAGTTTTTTCACGAAATGATGCTTTAAGTATTAATTATTGCACCATTTTATGGCAAAATCGTAATGTCTACAAAATTGTCTTTCCAAAAAGATGGAAAAACTCAAAATTGGTTAAAAAAGTTTTGAGTTATTAAAATTTCCCCCGAGAATTTTGTGATTCTGAAGACATATAAAAGTAAATATAAGAAAATTTTTGTTAGTTTTGAAAAATTTTACAAAAAAATATTATGTTTATCTTTATAAGGTTCATAAATGTGCTAGTACGAATTTTTGTTCAAATTGGATAACGCTTACTCGGTTTAGTCTGTGGTCAAAAAAGGGCCATTATTTTAACAGCATCTCCAAAACTCCATTTTCAAACTTTAAAAAATTTTGTTAAATGGATTATTAAAAATTAAAGTTTTCTATGCTGGATATTATAAAGGCTATATATAAGAATTAAACACAGAAAGAATGAGCTTAATACCTCTCATAGTTTTACCGTACCTGCGATGTGAATTTGAAGGATTTCGGGAAAAAGGCAATTTTTGCCAATAATTAAGTAAACATTATATTCCCAGCAAAAATTTTCATTACCTAGTAATCTAGAAAGTAATATTGCAATCACGTGGAAACTAATTACTTTTGGGGTGAATAACTAATTATTTTTGTTCGACGAGGTTCAAATAATATGTACCTACCTTAAACAAATTAATAAATGGTTACTAATTTGATTACAAAATCTTTGCGAATAATAGGTTATTTACTTTGTTAAAAATTGAAAATAAATAACTAGTTATCGACCTACATTTTAACTGTTAAGAAATAAGTACCTACCCATATTCTGATCAGAATTACAAAAATAAGTGGTTACTTACTTGTATATAAATAGGTAATTCCAATGAAGAAAAAAAGTTTTTTTTTTAATTTTAATAAAGAAAATAACATTTATTTTATTAAAAAAACAATAATAATTCATAGAACATGTAATTTTCATAAGGAAAATACAAATATATAATAAAAAACAATAACAATTAATTTAATATGTAATTTTCATCGAGAAAACGCATATATGTATAGTACGTATCAGGCATGGAAAATATAAAATAAAGTACTAAACTAATTTTCAGTTGTACTAGATAGTCTATAGTCTAGTCTAGTCTAGATTATAGTCTAGTCTATAGTCTAGTCTATAATCTAGACTATAGACTAAACTACTGACTAGACTACAGACTACACTATAGACTTTATTATAGACTAGACTATACTATAGACTAGACTACAGACTACACTATAGACCAGACTATAAACTAGACTATAGACTAGACTATAGACTAGACTATAGGCTAGACTATTGACTAGACTATAGACTAGATTATACTATAGACTAGACTACAGACTATACTACAGACTATAGACTAGACTACAGACTATACTATAGACTAGACTATACTATAGACTAGACTATACTATAGTATAGTCTATAGACTATAGTCTTTAGTATAGCCTATGGTCTAGACTATACACTATACTATTGTCTGGTATATAGTATAGTCTATAGACTATACTATAGTCTAGTCCATAGTATAGTCTATAGTATAGTCTATAGTATAGTCTGTAGTATAGTCTGTAGTCTAGTCTATAGTCTGTAGTATAGTCTGTAGTCTAGTCTATAGTCTGTAGTATAGTCTGTAGTCTAGTCTATAGTCTGTAGTATAGTCTGTAGTCTAGTCTATAGTATATTTTAGTCTATAGTCTAGTCTATGGGCTAGTCTATAGGGTTGTCTGTAGTCTAGTCTAGACTATAGTCTAGTCTATAATCTAGACTATAGACTAAACTATTGATTATACTACAGACTACACTATAGACTAGACTATAGAATAGTCTATAGACTAGATTATAGTCTAAAAAAGTACTGAATTATCCATGCCTGCTATACATAACAAACAAAAGAATAAACATTATATTAAAAAAGCTTGTATAGTTTTAATATAAAACTTCTATAAAAAGTATAAAAACTAATAACTTATAAATATTTGATATATTTTGTACTTATTTGAGGTATTTTGTACTTAAGTTCAATATAAACTATTAATTTAAAATCTTACATGTTAACCAATTGTTCAATTTCCGTTTCAAGTTTTCGTTTTTTAACGGATATGTTTTTGAAATGTCGATTTTTTAAGTTTTTGAACGCTGTTCTAATAGTTTTGTCGAATGATTTTGGGCTGTTGTTAACCAGAGATAAGGACATGTGGTACGCTATGTAAATGTTAGATAAAAATAATAAGTATAATTTTATATATTTTTAAAAATAATGGTATTATACTTACTTAAAAGTATATCAAGAATTTTTGGGAAATTTCTGAATCTTTTTTTGTTATGCATTCCGATCATATTGTATTCGCATAACAGGTCTTCTGCTATTATAGAAGTTAAGCCTTTGACAATTCCTTTTTCCCCCAATATTGTTTTAACAGTTTTAACCTAAAAATATTAAAAAATTATTATTATTTTGATACATTCATCACATGTATAGAAAATTCATTATGTACCTACCATCTCGTCCTTGTTATCCTTAGTTATGTTCTCTTCCCAAGAAATTAAATCATCATTTGAAGAAATTGGAAAAAGTTCAATGAACTTCGGCTTTTTCCAAAACAACTCCAAAATCGTTTGTATGCCCATATTTTGTTCCGTCATATCATTGCAAATGATTTTATTTTGATGAAGGATCGTGTTGCAAACAATTTTGTTTTGTTCAACGAGAGCATCTGTAAAAATTAATATTTTAAAAACAAATTAATTGCAAGCAAATAAAGTAAGAAATGTAATTGGATATGTCCTACTGTATGACATCATTAACTTGTATTTTTTAAAGTCCTTCTGTAGGGGCCTTAGGATTAGTCTCATCTTTATAAAATTGACAAAGAGATTTATGTTCATACAAGCATTAAAATGACAATCCGGATACAAGTATAGTCTATTTATGTATTCGGATTTTTATGTACATATCTGTATCTGGATTTTAATCACTTTTAATGGGTTTTAATTTTGGAATTATCAAGCAGAAGAACATTTTTTACACACTAAGGAATAATAATTTTATTACTTACTTATTACTGCTTTTGTTCCAATTTCAGTAGCGTCCTGGACATTGCAAAGTTTTGCTGAAAAAAAGAAACATGTTTTAGTCATAATTGAAATAAATTTTTCAGTTATACACTTACCTTTAATACCGCTAATTTCATTTTCGATGGCTTCAAGTTTTTTTAAAATTTGGTTTGATACGTCTGGACGGTTTTGCTTTTTGTTAGACATTTTAAAAAGAAGAATGTAATTCTGGAATAAGAACAAAACCATGTTTAAAAGGAAGTTTAACTATTTTGGCAAAAATGTTTTCAAAATTATAACTGTTGCTCTCATTAGAAATATCTTCAAAGTAAGCTATATTTATTTCCATTGAATTTATAGGATAGGTGAAAAAATTTTTAGGGTTTTTAAAAACTTTTCCTAAAAATATATTTTCATCAATAATTTCTGTTATTTCCAGGTATGATTTGTCTTTCATTAAACAAATATTATTTGGCGATTTTGTGGTAAAATAACCTTGAGAAAGAGAAATTGATTTTATATTATCTTTTTTATACTTTAAACCCAGAAACTTATTGGGAAGTAAAATTGGTAAATCTAAGAAATTGTTGACAATTTGCTGGTTTATATGTTTTGGCATTTTTATTTTCTTTTTAAGTTTTTGCATAAAATTTTCAAAATTATATGCCGAAAAATCATTTAAATTTCCAAATTGTTTAATACAATCCGCAATATGGAGAAGGTTGTGAACATTGTAGGACACACTTGATCTTCCATACAGAACTGGAAAAGTTTCAACAAAAGTTTTGACGAATTCATGTGCCTTTTCTAGATCTTCTGTTGAAGGAGAAGATAACATGATTCTGTAGAAGCAATTTAGGAGAACGAAATGGTCATAAAGCTCTTCTGGAACACAATCTTTTAGAGCAATTAAACCTGTGTAAAGGGCAAACTGCCTAAACTCAGATGCTTTCCATCTGGTTACATCCGTTAAAGTTCTCGGCTTTCGAGCAAATTCATGAGGAATGTGCGGAATAAATTGAAGAAGTTGTTCGGAAATTAAAACGACAGAAGAAAAAGGAACAGGATTTATAGTTTTCTTTTCAACAATATACATAAGAATTTTTTTTGTAATTCCTAAATCGAGCAAATGCATGCAATCTATTGGAAATTGTGATATCATTCCAATTCCAACTTTTTCTAACTCCATTTGCATATCCTCATGAATTGGTTGATGAAAATTTTTATAATTTCTTAACTTAAAGTCAAGATCTGTTCTTTTTTCCCCCTCAGTAATTGAGTACGTAAGAACATTGTCAATTTTTTTACCTTGTTGTTGACATTTAGAACAACCATTTAAGGCCATGTGCCCTTTTATGCCACAAACAAAGGCTTTTGCTGGTGCATCACAAACAAAGGCCCTTATTTTAACAACTATTTGGTTGTTGTCAACAATAAAACCAGTTTGTGAAAGATCCGAAAATTCTTTCACAAAATCATGTAAATAAGAATCTATATTTAATGGTTTTTTATTTCCTACGTAACAGCCAATAATAAATACATCTGTATTTTTTATATTGACTGCACGTCCTAGAATTGGCCACAAGGACATAGACGAACTTTTATAAAGTGGAAGTCCGTCGATTCCTATATCAATTACTATTTCTTTTAGATCTGAGTTCTTTATAATTTTTGAACATTTTTCCAACTGTCGTTGTAATCCAACATGTACATATTTCCCTGGAGAAACAGTACGTTCTTCGCATTTAATATTTTTTCCAATCAATCCTCCCACTGATTTCGGAACGTCTAAGTTTTCTGACTTTAAAATCTCTAATAAACTATTTGTACATTTAATACTTGGCCCATATTTAATAAACCATTTTTTAAGCTTTGTTTTTAGGCTACTCGAAACATTCTCTATCTCGGAAGACATATCCGGGATAGAGATTGTTTCGGAAAAACTTGATCCATGTGGGGGCTGATTAGGTAAATTACAAACATTTTCTGTGATAACACCACTTAACAAATCATGCATTTTTTGTTTTTTTATTTTAAGTTTTTGTTTATATTTCATTTTCTGAGAAGGCATTTTAACTTATATATGTATTTACTTACGTTTTATTTTTGATGTTCAAATAACTTTTGCTTCTTTATTTTAAAAACCACAATTTTAATTTTTTAATTTTAATATTCTTGCACTTTATTGCACCAAAATTCACTCTTTGATTTCGTTTAATTATTTAAAGCGTCACTAGAGATGAATACTTATGAGTACCCAATAGGGGTTATGTTGATTATTGACTATTCAGTATTCTGATTTTTTTCAATTAGTTCGCATTAAGAGCGCTTTTGTAATAAAAAGCTGGTACTTTTTGAATTTTTTATAATATTGATCCTAAAAATACGTAATTAAGCATGAAGAGCCCGGATTTAATGAGAATCTATAAAAGGGAATTTGTGGTACTTTTTTGTTCTTCAAAAGGAACTTTCTGATTTTTGTATAATATTGAACCTAGAAACATGAAATTAAGCAAGTAGAGACCGGAGTAAATGAAAACCTATAAAAGGGGGCTTTTGGTACTTTTTCTGTATTTAAGTGGTACTTTTTATGTTTTCCATAATATTTAACCTAGATATATGAAACTATGTAGACCCCGGAGTAAATGAAAACCTTTAAAACTTTTTGGTACTTTTTCTTTATTTAAGTGGTACTTTTTGTGTTTTGTATAATATTGAAACATGAAATTAAGCATGTAGAGGCCGGAATAAATTGAAAACATATAAAAGGGGACTTTTGGTACTTTTTCGTTCTACAAAAGATACTTTTTGAATTTTCTATAATATTGAACCTATTTCGTTCTTTAAATGGTACTTTTAAACTTCCTATAATATTGAACCTAGAGACATAATATTAAGAGTAAATGGGAATCTATGAAAGGGAACATTTTCGGTACATTTTCGACTTATTGTATTTTTAAAAAGTAGATTTTTCGACTTTTTGCGATTTATAAAAAGTCGATTTTTCGACATTTTGCGTTTTAGCAGTATATTGTGAAGTATAAATGTCGTTACAACTAGATTTTCCATTTAGTTACAACTAGATTTTTTGATTTTTTTTACTTTTCGACATTTTCACTATTTTTTCGACTTTATCCACTTTTTTCGACTTTTTCCGATTTTTTTCGACATTTATTTCAAAATTGATTGTTTGACATTTTTCTTACAAGATAGTCAACTTTTCGACTTTTTAGGAAAAAAAGTAGTCGACTTTTTAGGACAAAAAGTAGACTCTTCGATTATTTTAAAGTCGATTTATAGAACCTACTAAGAACTGTTTATTCGAATATATCGTTAGCTTCAGTCCTATTCAATAAATTCTACAGTAGATGAAGAAAAAAGTCATAAGTCTCCAACGGTACTATCTTAAAATTCGTTCATAACTGGTATTGAAAAACGACAAATCAAAAAAGAAAACTGAATATTTGTTATTAGTGATTATTTGTTAACGTTTGCGTACTAAGCTAACTATATACAAAGAACCTACAGACTACAGGATATATGTTTATTTTTTATAATTACGTTGAGAGTAGCGAAGCACACAGGGTAAAGCTAGTGTATTGTAAAAGTAATCGGTAAATGTACGTAGTAATAACAGCACAAAGTTTTATTTGAGAAACACTAACAAGCTATACGCAAGCACACCGGTAACAGTGTTTATAGAAATAATCAGATGTAGGGCGGTATCAGTTTACTGACAAACTCCGTATAAAAAAAATTGACAGTAAACGGATTTATTTACCACAAATGTACCTTATAAGTATTCATATCAAATTAGTGTTGTTTACTTTTCGTACTATTTAAGCCGCGCAACTTCGCTTAATCTTACGAAAACTTCAAAAATATAATAATAGTGATCTTAATATAATAAATGTATTTTTATGATGATATACATAGAAAAAATATATGTGTAGATCACATATGTTATTTTTGCTTTTTACATCGATGTTTCTTCTGAAGAAATGTATATTATTCTTATATTTTATTGTGCTCTAATTACAGCGATTTTATTTTATTATTTGTTTTAGCATCACTTTTTTATCAGCTGCTTTCACACAAAAATAAAAACATTTACTTTGCTATTTAACTTAATACAATAAATATTTATAATAAATATAATGTTTAATAGCAAATATCCAATTGATTTAAAAGGCTGCAAATTATATAAAACAAGCCAATCCTCCACGCTAAGTACATATGTATATTCAACAATTATTTATTTTACTTTTAACTAAAATAATATTTTTTCTTAGAAACAATGGCAACTGGCCACAGGGATTAAGTTGTGGTTTACAAGTTTAAAAAGGGCCCACACATCGGTTGAGCTACGTATCTTTACCGACTTTTTGTCTTCAAATGCCAATTTGCCCATAATATCTTCGGCTCCGATTTGCTCAGGGACAATATGTAGCCTTCGTAATGATGTTATTGACTGACTTCAATAGCTGTGGTAAATCTTCCTTGTAAGTTATGCAAGGAATTGGCCCGATTTGGTTGAAATTTGGCACACATAAAGACACCTGATGGCATTGCAATGTTATGTTCGAAAAATCGAAATTAAATAGTAAAAATTCGGAGTTATGTTAGTATTTTGTTGCAAATTTTAATTGATTTTTTTAAATACTTCCTGTAGCTCAAATATCTGAAATTTGAAATATGTATATGGATGTAGACATCTGATAACAATATAGTGTAATGTTCGAATTTTAAAAATTTCAAGTTATATCGAAAAAAAAATATTTTAAAAATGTGTAGACCTTGTGGTTTGGAAAAATCAAAGCAAATTTTGAAAAAATCAATTTTTTTTTGAATTTTCTTGGTTTGTGCTAAAACTAAACAAAAACTGAAACAGTTAATAAATTATATAATACTTAAAGCTTGTCCTAAAAGTAAAGTAATTTTTAAAATAAACTTATTTTTAAATATAAACAAAAGTTTGATTTATGTATACATATTATTGATTACGGTAGCTTAAAAAGCCAAATAGGCTTGGCAAACATATTTTAGAATTCTTGTGCTTGCTAAGTATTTTTTTAAATTTTCTTTTAATTGCAATTAGACCATAAAAACAGTTTGACAAGAATACAATATGTTTGAATAATAATCTAAAATCCAATCATATTTCCTAGACTAAACAAAAAAAAAAAAAAACTATGATACTTATCATTGTACATTTGGTACTTTTTCGTTTTCAACAATCAGACATATAGGATTCTGATCTAATGAAAATCAATAAGAGTGAACTTTTTGTTCTTCAACTGGAACTTCCTGAATTTATTATATTATAAACATAGAAACACAAAGCATACTGATTGAATGAAAATCTATAAAAGGGGTCATTCTGGTATTTTTCGTCTTTAACTGTTCCTTTCTAAATTTTCTGAAATATTGAACCTAGAAAAATAAAATTTGGCATTCAGGATCCTGATGAAATGAAAATCTTTGGTCAGTTTTATCGTTCAACTGTACATTTTGAATTTTTTATAATATTGAAACGCAAAAGAAAACACTCAGCATAAAAATTTGATGTTTTGGTTATTAATTTCATTACAGGCAAATAATTACATAATTCTTGCAGGTAATGATATATATAAATACATATTTATATCATTACTAGGAACTAATTATTATTATATTTGAAATAATGAGATTAATAAGTAACACTAATTACATTGTAACCTAGGAAATAACTAATACATATTACAAAATTTTGATAAATTTTTGCTGGGTTATTACCAATTGTTGCTTAATTTTGATCAAGGAAATTGCGATTATTATTTCCGAGTCCATGGAAAGTTAGTTCTAATCAAATTTTCGAAACTAAAAATCATTAACCCTCTAAACACCGGGGTCAAAATCAAATTTTTGAATTTTATGTTCTTGAAGAAATAAGAGCATGATGTTGTTAATTTGTTGATGGATATTGATGAAACTTCTTAGAAGTTATCTTTACTACATTCAAATAATACGATAAACCAAATACTGGATATATATCCATTAAATCTTTAAGAAAATTAATTTTAGAAAATTCCTTTTTAAAAGTGCTTTTTGTAGTGTTTAAAAAATCGGTCTTGAATTGACCCCAAGTATGACAGAGGGTTAATTTTTGAAGAAGTTTAATTCCTAGATTTCTGGATATATTTTCGTGTAGTTTGTCAAAATGAATTCATAATTAAATACACAATATTTTGCTATTTTTAATGAAGAATATTAAATATACAAAAACTTGATTTTGACCCCGGTTTTTAGAGGGTTAATGATTTTTAATTTCGGAAATTTTATCAGAAATAACTTTTCATGGACTCGGAAATAATAATCGCAATTTAATTGATCAAAATTAAGCAACAATTGGTAATAATATAATTTTTACTTAATTATTGGCAAAAATTGCCTTTTTCCCGAAATCCTTCAAATTCACATCGCAGGTACGGTAAAACTATGAGAGGTATTAAGCTCATTCTTTCTGTGTTTAATTCTTATATATATCCTTTATAATATGCAGCATAGAAAACTTTAATTTTTCATAATCCATTTAACAAAATTTTTTAAAGTTTGAAAATGGAGTTTTGGAGATGCTGTTAAAATAATGGCCCTTTTTTGACCACAGACTAAACCGAGTAAGCGTTATCCAATTTGAACAAAAATTCGTAATTTACAAACTTTGGCGGCGATGCGCGGGCTCTTACCCTCAAAATAATTGAATAATATTTTACAGTCTTCCATTTGACGTTAAAATACAACATAATTTCACTATTAGATGTTGATCCGAGCGAAAAGCCTATTTTCGACCCACCCTAATATACATACATACAATAACAAAATCTCACTAAAAAATCATCAAAATGCTTAAATTTAAATCAATTTTTATTTAAAGAAAATATCTAAATTTATAAGTATAGCACATAATTTATAATTTTATAAATTTTAAATTAATTAACAATTTCTATTAGCAATCATTATAAATTATTTTGTTTACTTTTGTCAAATTTAAACACAAAAACATACAATATACTAAAACAAATTGCATACAATAACAAAGTCTTAATGAACAAACAACCCATCAAGTTTTATTGTTCAGTCGGCTTGATTTGTACTAACCAGTCAAACTATCAGTTTTTTTACGTCCCTTAGTAAGAAAACGAAACCAAGAACAAAGCAATACGTAAGCAGCACACGCAAAACTGTTTTTACTGTTCAGTCGTTGTGTTCAGTTCGGCTGAGTTGAAAAACTTAACATGGCCGCTGCTTGTGTGTGTGGTTGCTGAAGAAAAACAAAACCACTTGCAAGTTATTGCAGCAATGTGTTGACACAGTTGACTGACTTCAGTTAGCTTGTAAGGGGAAATTTTAACGAGTTACTATTTTTTAAGCATGGTACTAAATTTAGTCAAATATTTAATAATTTGCGACTGCAATTAGCAGTTTTTTGAATCCCTGCTTAATTGTATAAAATTGTATTGCTATATTCGTATTTTTTAGCCAGTAATGAGCGTTAAAGTCATTTTCAGAAGGGGACCTTATAGGGGGGATAGGGTCATTTATGGGCCGATCTTAAAAAAAATTCGTAGAGCGATTTTGGTTCGTAAGAAACTTACTTATACCGAATTTCATCGCTATACTCACATTTTTGGACCAGTAATGAGTGTTAAAGTAATTTTCTAAAGGGGACCTTATACGGGGGGTAGGGTCAATTATGGACCGATCCTCAAAAAATTTGGTAGAAAGATTTTGGCTTACATGAAACTTATTTATGTAAAATTTCATCGCTATACTTGCATTTTCGGGCCAGTAGTAAGTGTTAAAGTCAATTTCAGGAGTGGACCTTATATGGGGGGTAGGGTCATTTATGGGCCGATCCTAAAAAAATTGGTTAAAAGGTGTTGGTTCGTAAGAAACTTACTTATACTGAATTTCATAGCTATACTCGAATTTTTGGGCTAGTAATGAGTGTCAAAGTCATTTTCTAAAGGGGACCTTACATGGGGGGTAGGGTCATTTGTAGAGAGATTTTGGTTCGTAAGAAACATACTTATACCGAATTTCATCGCTATACTTGCATTTTGGGACCAGTAATGAGTGTTAAAGTAATTTTCAGAAAGGGACCTTATATGGGGGGTAGGGCCATTTATGGGCCGATCCTCAAAAAATTTGATAGAAAGATTTTGGCTCATATGAAACTTATTTGTGTAGAATTTCATCGCTATACTTGTACTTCTAAAGCAGTTATGCCCGTTAAAGCTGTTTTTTGTATGGGGGCAATACGAAAAAGTGGACCGATATTGCCCATTTTCAATACCAAACAAACCTTAACAATAAAGAATATTTATGCAAAATTTCAACCGTCTAGCTTCTTTCGTGTGGTCTCTATCGTGATTTCAACAGACAGACGGACGGACATGGCTAGATCGTCTTAGAATTTAATAAGGAGCCGAAATATATATACTTTTATGGGTCTATGACCAATATTTCGATGTGTTACAAACGGAATGACAAAATCAATATACCCCCCATCTTTTTTGATGGTGGGTATAAAAATATAACATTTTTCTATTTTGCTAATCACTTATACAACTTAACTTAATAGTGCTGTAACTATTAAAGGAACTCAAAAATTCCACAAATTTTTACCTATGGATAGCAACAAAATGTTAGTTAAAGAAACTTCTAATTCAGAATCGCATACTATAATGATAATTAAGAAAGAAACTACAAATCAAAACATTAAAATTTAAATATGTAATCGCTTTTAAATAACTTATTTTCAATACTGAACTTTTTTATTTTAACACTAAATTATATTATTAATTATAACTTAAGTTGTGTTTTCAATAAAAATAATAATCCTATATATATATATATATATATATATATATATATATATATATATATATATATATATATATATATATATATCTATATATATATATATATATATATATATATATATATATATATCTATCTATATATATATCTGATAAACTGTTTGTTGTATGTTTGTTTGTTACGCTTTCACGGCAAAACTACTGAACCGATTTACATGAAATTTGGACCGCTAATAGGTCTAATCCCAAGAGGAAAAATAGGCAATATATGATCTTGATCGGATGCCCCTTTTTACGCCCACTTTTTGTAAAACTATTATTACACCAATTTTTTCAATCACAATATGCAAAAACTAAATCAATTAACCTAAAATTTTAAAAAAATTTTAAAATACCGATAGGTATATAGCTTGGAAAGAATTAAGGCTATATATAAGAACTTGATTCGATGCCACGCCCCTTTCTACGTCCACTTTTAATAAAACTATCCCTTACCTATATCTTATCCTATAATTATATGAAAGAGAAAGTTTGTTACGCTTTCACGGACAAACTGCTGAACCGGTTTTCATGAAATTTAGAACACTAATAGTTCTATTCTATAACAATAGGCTATATAAAATCACGATTTGACGTCCGATTATTCTTATGCTCACTTTTTTCTATATAATTGTTATAGAAAATTTTCATTCGAGACTTACAGAAAACTACTGAACCGATTTACATAAAATTTGGTATAGCGATCTCAGGATCTGGATCGGGTGCCACGCACCTTTTTACACCAACTTTTTGTAAAACAATTATTAAACCAAATTTACGTTCAGGCATACAAAAATCTACTGATCCGATTTTCATGAAATCTGTTATAATGAATATTGTGGAATGAAAAGTACGACACATTACATCTTCAAAACCTATAATATATAATAATAAATATATATGAGACTTCTTTTTACTCTTTCACTACATAACTAATAAACTTAATAATAACAAGTAAGAGTCTTATATTCGGCTATGCCGAATCTTATATACCCACCATCACACCTCGTTTGACTCGAATGAAACTTACCTATGTCGAATTTCATCTATATACTCGTATATTTAGGCCAGTTATAAGCGTTAAAGTAATTTTCTGAAGGGGACCTTATATAGGGGTAGGGTCAAT